GGTGGTGGGGGGGGGGGGGGGGTCAGTTTTTGGTGAGAAGGGTAGTCGGGGTCGGTTTTTGGTCAGTTTTGGTCGGGGAGGGTGGTTGGTATTTGGTGAAGGGGTGGTCGGTTTTTGGTGAGGGAGGTGGTCGGTCGTCGGCGAGAGAGGGTCGGTTTTGTCGGTGAGAGAGGGTCGGCCGGAAAGAGAGATCGGAGAGGGTCGGCCGACGAGAGAGTCGGCGAGAGAGATCGGAGAGAAAGGATCGGCCGACGAGAGAAAGTCGGCGAGAGAGATCGGAGAGAGAAACCGGTGAGAGGAACTCGGTGGTGAGGGTCAGTCGTGAGGGTGGGTGAGAGATCGGAGAGAAAAACCGGCGAGAGAGTTGGTCGTGAGGGCCGGTCGGTCGTGAGGAGGTCAGTTTGTGAGGGAAAGTTTTTTTGAAATGACCCGTACACTTGGACTAAATAGGATCCATTTTTTGATACGTAAAATACACATCAAAATTTTTTTGTTATAAAAAAAAATAGTGTACATTCTCAATTGTTGTTTTGCTCCGGTCTCTTTTATCAAATTTTCTCAGCAAAGGACTTGGGGTTTTTTAATTCCAATAAAATTCAAAGGTCGATTCTGATAATCGGTTAATCAAACGTGGAAAGCAAAAAGGCTCCATCAGTAAATAAACAAACTCAGATCTCTCTTGGAGAAGCAAAAATGGAAGCGAAAATAGGTGGCAGAGCTGGGACTTTGTCGAACGCTCAAGCGCCTCCACCCTCCATCAATTCCCCCAAGCTCTCCTCTGTCAAGAAAGACCACGCCCAGATCGCCCAAATGAGCTGATTCTGCCACTCCACCGTGATCGAGATCGAAGCCAATCATTGAAAACGCTTTGATATTGGTTGGAAGAATTAGTAAAGAGTTTTCAACAACTAGAGAATTCTTGAATCTTCTTTCTTTTTTTATTTCCTCGTCAAATTAATTTCGAGTTCTTTCCGTTAATCCTTTTTACATTAGCACAAGGACCTTTTTTAAAATATTTATTTTCCGTTAATCCTCGCCCAGGGGATGTTTTTAAAATTAATCTTTTTTTTTTAGGAGGGATTACAATTTTATGGTTGCTATATTTTCTGTTAGCAATATTTATTGCTTGTTTAATAACATATTTATAATTTCTAAAATTGCCTATTTTGCATGATTTGTTGATACAGCATTATTTACAATCAAACAAAAACTAAATATAAAGGGCTCAAATAAAAAGAACTGACGCTGTCAATAATTGTATTAGGACAAATGAAACACTAGAATATATTTACATATATATATAAGATAAAGAAAATCAACAACAAGAATAATGCTCTTTCTAACTAGCTCGCTAGGAAATTCAAATCGTCACAATGCACAACACTTGCTTTTGTTCAGCCACTTGACAATGCAATCTCCATGATAAAGATGCGAACAATGAACATATATGGCAACCTAGTCGCTTCCGAACAAATCAAGACATCCTCCACACAAACCGAACAAGTAATTGGAACCTCAATCTTACCCCTTCTCCAAACTCTCAATCGACTCTTTACTCGCCGCCTCAAAAGTACTATCATCGTTGTCGTCGCCGCAGTTGTCGTCATTATCATAATTAGCATTCCAATTCAGAATAATATTGTATCAATATTCTCAGAAAGTAGAGGTAATTCATTTACACCAGCGTCAAAGTGTATATACATGAGCTAAACCCTGTGATTTTTACTTGCAGCTTGTCTGGACATATAAAAACCTTAGAATTATTATAATCATGACTAAATGGATTGTCATCGTGTGTATAAAATGATTATATAAATGAGTCACAACGTATTCATATAATTTTTTCCTAAATTGCCACGTCATCAAATTAATAAAACACGCTATCCTAAATTTCTTATGCCAGAAGTATTGAATTTTTTTAAATGGACTACTAACTTCGCTTTAATACACCGAATCGCTATTTGCATAGTCCAATCTGGTTTAGACTGCCAACAAACAGTTCTAACGTGGAACTGAATCGACAGTCTAAAAATCATCGAACTGTTCAAATACAATCATTTTCGGTCTACCCTACACAACCCTTATTCTAGACAACATCACCAGCATCAATTAAGGCATATCTAGCCAATAGATATATAAAAAAACAGAATTACCCTGCCTAGGGACTAAAAAGCATAACAAAATTGGCAATTCACAAGAAGAAACCACATGATCATGGTCTGTTGGATCCTTAATCCAACGTTGGGCTTATTGTATCAGAAAAAAGAGTCTTCTTTAATCAGCTTATCCACAATAGTTTTGCACAGTTTCTGATCATCAAAACCATTTATTTGAAGAGCAAACCGAAGTCCTCATGCATATAGGAGGGAAATCTCTGTTGACGTTATGAACTCTCATATATATGATCACACCGAAATTCCTCTTAACACGTGACGTATGGTTATAAATATATATATATATATATTTTTTTAAAAGAGCTAAGAAGAATTGATGTACGAGATTTACACCCTACTATGTAAAAAAACAAAAAAGTAAGAAAGATCACGCTTATATCACGTATCAAGTTCAATCTCAAACCGTTATATACCATATGAGTTATGATACGCAGATTCCAAAGGTATCGAGAGAAATTGTGCAGAGCATATGTAGCAATAACAGAATTTCTCATTCACTAGATATCCCCTATTAGGCGTTTCATCGAAAATCTGTTGGGGCATATTCAAAGTACGTATTTATATGGAACGGTTTCAATTATGATATCAGATGCAAAACCCATTTTTATTTGTGAGCATGCATTTGATTTCCTTCAAGAACCGCTGACATAAGCCCACTCGCTTTGTTAGCAAATTGAAGAGTGTGAATATCCACACTAAGAACTTTTATGTCTCGTATGGTAATAGAATAACTTCTAATGATTCGTTCCAAGTGGAAGTATCAAGGACTATTTATGACCCCTTTAAAAAGTATACTCAAATCATAATTCTTAATTCTAACATTTAAAACTCAATTTTTTTACGAGAAAAAAATTGAGTTTTAAATGTCAGAATTAAGAATCATGATTTGAGTAAAAAAATATCATAAAAGAATTAATGATTTAAATTTAATTATATAAAACAAACATGTCTTTAGTCTTTCAGCTAACATTCGTATGGGCAAAAGAAACTGTGTTGGAATGAGAAAATAAATTTAAAAAAAAAAAAATGGTATTGAAGACTTAAAAGACAATTGTAATTGACGCGATTGTCTATTTTTCACGGGTGATATGGGTTGATGACAATTGTAACTTAGGCGACTGTATTTTCCACTAGTAATCAGAGTTGATACAATCACCATGTATAATGCAGTTGTGTTGAGAATAATTGCAACTGTTACGACCGTCTATCTTTCACCACAAATAAGCTGTTGATCAATATGAATCCCGTAAAGTGATTAATAGTGAAGAAAACACCACGCGCATGATCTCCACTTTTGCACAAGCAAACAGTCTTTTTTTATTTTTTTATTTTTTGGTACGAAGAAAAGTGAGTTACACAATGGCATATACCACAACTTGATTATTTTTTAGGAAAAAAGGAAAAAAAAAAAAACATAGTCAGTACAAAAATGTTATTGTGGCCGTCACTATAGAATGAAAAGCACCAACTCTAACCCAAATACAAAGACAATGGATCGGACACATCAGAAACAGAATATACGGAGAAATCCCTACACAAGTCTTGTGACAAAACGAGCAAACAATAAGATCTGTGTTCAATGAGCAGAGTGAGTCGTGGTGGTTGTCTTCTTGAAATCAATCTTGTCAACCTTAACCTCCCCGTCGATGAGTTCATAAACGTAGACCACAACGCGCAGGCCATCAATATCCATGAGGACAAAGCTCGGGTTAACATCATAGGTAATGCTGCTGTAAGCACCGGTTGCAGACCCTGGGTTTATAACGACTCCGGCCTCGTGTTTGTAGGCTGTGAACTGATGAGTGTGACCTGTTACAAGGATGTCTACATCCAATTGCCTCTGAAGCATTGCTAGAGAGTCTAGGTCCCCCCATGGAATAACCTTCAGAATATTAAAACAAAAAACTAAGCGATATCGGGTAATGCATTGACCAAAATGGAAGCATTAATTCAAACAGTGGCATAAATTTCCAACATTACTAGCAAATCCTGACGAGATGGTTCCTGCTATAACATACAAAGATAATCAATACAGCGCATAGAATTTACACCAACAGAAATGGTAAAAACTAGCAGCATCGTGAGACAAAATCAAGCATTTAGAAGAATTTTTCATGTTGTGAATGGCAATGAACCAGCAGTGAAATCTGCTAGCAAAACAACCAGATAAAAACATAGCTGCATGTAACTAACTCTATATTGGAGAAAGGTCACAGATGGAAAAAAAATACAATTTATTTAACTAGAACAGACATTTTCTTTTTCTGCAACAGCCAACAGAAATTCTTAGGTAGAAGGGAAATAAATTTGAGAAAAGCACATCCCTATTCTATAATATGGAGAAGGACAAAAGAAGATAATTCCATGCAATTTTAGTTATACTGCTAAAAGACCGGTCATGAACAAGACTTTTAGCCTAGGTCTTTTTCTCATCTAGTTCCTTTCATAATCCTCATTCCTTCACTTAACTAAATGTTTGTTAAGAAAAAACTCAAGAAAGAGAAATTAGTGCCTTATGGGATGAACAAAAGGAAAAAAAGAAAACACCAAATGGGCCTTCTGCTGCCAATAACTCACAGTAAACCCATAATTATACAAGTTTCAAATCATATAGAAGATGAAGTCTATGATCACAGAAATTATACTTGAACTGTGCCAGGAGATAGAAAAAGCTTAAGGCTACAACTTGAGCAACTTAAATCTGCCATCTGTCATGGCTAAATTGTATTTTTCTTGGTTATTCAGCCACTCAGAAAGGGTATAGATACTATTCCCCAGAAAAACGTAAGTACTATGTCACTATGGATGTCACATTCTTTGAAAATCATCCTTTCTACCCCAAAAATTCACTTCAGGGGGAGAGTGAGAATGAAGCTCTTTTTTGGCAAGAAGAATCCTCACCTAGCCCTGTATTGCACCTTCATGATAACCCGGATCCAACACCAACCGAACAAGAGCATATTGATCCAGCTTCAATTACCTCAACCAATCCACATCCAGCTTCAATTACCTCAACCAATTCACCTCTCACCATCCTTTCAAGTTTTTGTTGCTAATCTGGCAGAAGAACAAATTCCAAAAACTATACAGGAAGCCTTGAGTATGCCTCAATAGAGAAAGGCAGTGACTGAGGACATACAAGCTCTTATGAAAAACCAGACATGGGAACTTGTGAAAAAAACTGAAGGGAAAACTTCAGTTGGGTGTAAGTGGGTGTTCACCATCAAACACAAATCTGATGGGATAGTTGAAAGGTATAAAGCTAGACTTGTTGTTAAAGGCTTCACCCAAACATATGGCATTGACTACACAGAGACATTTGCTCCTGTTGCCAAACTCAATATTGTCAGAGTACTTCTATCTATTGCAGCCAACCTGGATTGGGATCTACAGCAACTAGATGTAAAAAATGCATTCCTCAACGGTGACTTGGAGGAAGAAGTGTACATGGATCTTCCACTAGGATTCGACAAGGAAAGCAAGAATGGAATGGTATGCAGACTAAAGAAGGCACTCTATGGACTGAAGCAATCTCCGAGGGCTTGATTTGGAAGGTTTACTAAGGCAGTTGTTTAACAAGGGTATAAGCAGGCTCAGACTGATCATACACTATTTTATCGACACAAATATGGTAAGAGTACAATTCTTATTGTCTATGTGGATGACATATTCTTGACAGGAAATGATGCAGTGGAGATGACTAGGTTGAAGACTAGACTAATTGCAGAATTTGAGATTAAAGATCTTGGATCTCTACGGTATTTTCTTGGTATGGAGGTTTCCAAAAGCAAGGTTGGAATCTCAATCACCCAAAGGAAGTACATCCTGGATCTCTTGAAGGAAACATGAATGCTCGGTTGCAAACCAATGGATACGCCAATGGATTCCACAATAAAGATTGGTGACAAGAAGGAAGGAGTTCCGATTGATACTAGGAGATACCAACGTCTAGTCGGAAAACTCATCTATCTCTCCCACACTAGACCTGATATTGCTTTCGCAGTTAGTGTTGTTAGTTAGTACATGCACACACCCTGTGAAGAGCACATGGAAGCTGTGTGTTTCGGATCCTGAAGTATCTTAAAGGTTCTCCTGGTAAAGGACTATTCTTTAGTAAAAACTCTTCAAGGAGTATAGAGGGATTCACTGATACTGATTGGGCAGGTTCCATTGAAGACAGAAGGTCCACTTTAGGCTATTGTACATTTGTATGGGGCAACCTAGTCACATGGCGAAGTAAGAAACAAAATGTGGGCCCAAAGCCGTGCTGAAGCTGAACTTAGAGCTGTGGCACACGGCACTTGCGAAATACTATGGCTCAAACTTCTACTTGAAGAATTAAAGATGGAGATGGTTCTTCCGATAAAGCTTTACTGTGATAACAAGGCAGCCTTAAGTATCTCTCACAATCCTATACATCATGATTGGACAAAGCATGTGAAAGTGGACAGACATTTCATCAAAGAAAAAATTGAGGGAGGAATACTGTACATAACCTATGTATCCACAGATGACCAGGTGGTTGACATCCTGACCAAGGCTCTAGCAAGGAAGATGTTTGAAGATTAGTTGGCAAGCTGGGAATGTTCAACCTCGGAAATCCAGCTTGAGGGGGGGTGTAGACTAACAGCCGGTGTTGACTTTCCTAGTTTATAGGGATTTAGTTGTTATTAGTTTCCTCATTCTGTTATGAAAAATAAAGAAAGATATTTTCCTCATATCTCTCTTCTTAATGGGAGGATTCATTCCCTGATTAATGGGGATTTTACTGTTTTTAGTTTGTTTCCTTTTTGTGGAGATTCATTAGCAGATTTGTTACCAAGCTTCTCTATAAAAAGGATTTGTATTCTCTAATTGAAGAATAAGTGAGAATGCCTAATTCCTCAATTCCACATGTTTGTTAAGAAAAAACTCAAGAAAGAGAAATTAGTGCCTTATGGGATGAAAAAAAAAAAATATTGGGCCTTCTGCTGCAAATAACTCACAGTAAGCCGATAATTATACAAGTTTCAAATCATATAGAAGATGAAGTCTATGATCACAGAAATTATACTTGAACTGTGCCAGGAGATAGAAAAAGCTTAAGGCTACAACTTGAGCAACTTTAATCTGCTATCTGTCACGGCTAAATTGTATCAGAGGGAAGAGGCAAGACATAATAGGACACTGCAGATATAGAGCAGTAAATTTCACAATGAAAGATAACGTGTTTTGGATAGGAGAGACCAAAGTTCAATTTCTTTTTCTTATCCAAAAACTTGAAAAAACAAGGAAACAAGGCGAGAGCCATATTAAATCATCCTCTTTCTTCAATTTGAAAGACAGTTCCTAATATACATGGATACAGGAAGAGATATGACATTCAAGGATAAAGATAAATACATATTGAGAAGCATAAGGGAACCAACCTGATGACCATGGCATAATCCGAGCTTAAATTGACCAATAGTAAGCGTTTTGGTCTCAGGATATCTTGTCTCTTCGTCATACTCACCTCGAGCGATATGCAAATCTGGACAAAGAGTCTTCAGGTAGTCATGTACCTCCTGAAAACATCATATATGAATTCTAAGCCATTGGCATTTTTGTTTAAGCCAGCAAAAAGTACTTCCAATTGGTTTTACAAAAGGAAACTTTCTTAATATTGGATTGCAAAATCCAATCAAATTCTAGTACTATTATTTCCATGGGCCCCAAAAAACTACCTAAAAGTAAATTGATTAAAAATGAAGAGAGAAAGTGGATGGAATAAAACCATGAATAACAAGGACCAGAAAACATGATCTTCTGAATAGATTTTTTTTGGCTAGAATCTTCAGTTGACGATTGCACAAAGAAATTTAATCTCTAATTTGTTTCAAACAAAATATAAGTGAAGAAAAAGAAAATCTCAAACCCACAGTTCATCTTCTTCAGGTAACTAAACCTGGCCAACTACTTCACTTGTACCCAGTTGAGTGATCCCATCATCATTCAGAGCAAACCCAAATATGAAAACCAGAAAATAGAGGACAAAAATTACTAATGTCTCACAATTAAGCACAACCCAAATCAGAATTTCTCTCATTTAATTTTTTCAACCAAAAGAAATAAAAAGTCTTACAATTGCATTAACTGTCATTAACAACAAAACAAGATTAAAAAAAAAAAAAGTTCAGATAAAGGGAAAAACAAAGAAAAATACTTGTTTTTTAAAAATAAAGAATTAAGCATAATCCAAAATAAGAACAACAACAAAAAAGAACAGGAAATTTTAAAATTAAGCACAACCCGTATTAGAATTCCTCACATTCAATTTTTTCAACACAAAAAAAAAAAAAAAAAAGTCCCACAATTGCAATAAACAAAACTGTCTATGAACAACAAAACAAAGATATATAAATATATATAGAGAAAAAGAGAGGGATACTTTGATACAAAGATTGCCAGTGCAAATGATGTGTTGGATCTTGCCAGGGACAAGCATGGACTTAAACTTGGCAGGAAGATCAGGAGCTCTGTGGGGTATGTGTAAATCCCCCAACGCCAATACCAACACCATTTTCTCCCAAAACCCACTTCCCAAAATCTGCCCAAAATACCAAATCACACCTCAAATTTATATTCTATTCACAAATCAAAATAAAAACCAAAAAACCCATTACAGAATTTTCCTCAAGCAAATTATGTAACCAAACCGAATGATCGCGAAAAAGGGAATGGAAATTAAGGTGATCGAAGGAAAGGGTTTACCAGAGAGAAGGAAAAAGCTTGCTTTGATTCCGCAGAGAAGCTGAACGGGGAACCGGGCCACGTATTACCCCAGTTTGGTCTCTTGGGCGCAAACAGCGTTATTTGTGATTTGAAATAAGTGGAGGGGTTAATTTATATATTTGAGAAACTTTTGGGGTTGATAGGAAATAGATGATTTTGAAAGAGGCGCCCATTGGAATTGGAATTTCTGTGGGGTAGAATTCGAAAAGGTCTAAATACTTCTTTTCCCGACTATACGGTTATGTAATTGAAATTTTTTTTTTTATCTGGTTCTGCTTATATAATTGAATTTTAAACAAGTTTTTCCATTAAACAAAACAAAACAAAACAAAAAAACAATAAGTTTTTTGCTATTATTTATCATTAATGGAAATATTCTTTTAAAAGAATGGAAATAGCATGTTACTTCTTTCATAGTAGATATGTCAAATGGGCCGGGCCGTCCATGGACGACCCGGCTCAGCCCGTAATAGTGCCGGGTTTGGCACGACCGGTCCGCTACTGTTACGGGCCGTGCCGGCCCGGCACGTGTAATAGGCTAGGGTTGGGCCCCGGCTTCTCAGCCTGCGGCTCAAGCCTGTGAAGGCCCGCGGCCCGGCCTAAGCCCAGTTCGGCCCAAGCCCGGATTCGGCCCGGCCTAGGCCTGCAAAACAGCCCATTCGAAAATGCTACCTTTGGGCCTTCGCGGACCCAACGGTCAGCCCGTGACGGACCTCCTGTTTGGCCCGTCACGGGCCTCTCATTTAGCCCGTGACGGGCCTGCCGTTAGGCACATCACGGGCCGCCCGTTGGGCCCGCGAAGGGCCCAACGTTAAGAATCCGAAAATGCTCAAAAAATTCCCTATAAATACAATTCCACCATAAATCCCACACAACAACTCACTCTCAACTTCTCATCTCACTCTTATTCTATCTCTTATCTTATCTCTTTCATTTTGATTCTAAGTTTTTTTCTCGTGATCACTCATTTCTTGCTCTTTCATTTACAAAGTTCACGTTCAATCAATTTTGAGAAAATGGCCGCATCAAACTTTCCTAATTTCACTGCTTTTCCTGAGCTTGTGATGAGGCATTTTTTGAGGATGAAATGATGCCTCCCAACCCCACCCCCACTGAACCAGAAAATGCTCCGGTAGATAATGCTTCAGTGCATAATGAGGAAGCTGGAGAACGCAGCAGGGGAAAAAGACCGTGAACTTCTCTGGCATGGCAGCATTTCACCGAGGAGCCTCGACCAAATCTAAAAACAGGTGAAATAAAAATTTGTGTGGTATGTAAATATTGTAAAAAACACTTTTCTAATAAAAATGGTAGGGGTACTGGTCATATGGATAGACATTGAAAAGTATGTCTACCGTTGCACCAAGGTGGGAGTGTGGACTCCTGCCAATAAACACTATCACTCACATCACAGGAGTTACAAAATTTTACATACGATGCACAACGTGTTCGTGAGGCACTAGCTAAATTTCTAGCTAGTGCCGAATTGCCTCTTTCTTTTTCAGATGATTCATCGTTTGAAGAGTTCATCCAGATGGCCTTCTGCCCACACTTTAAATGGGTAAGTAGAAATACAACTCGTTCTGATTGCATGAAAGTGTTTTACACAATAAGACAATCTCTTGTTAATAATTTTAGGACTTTAACTGCTACTGTCTCTTGCACTTCTGATCTATGGGAGGTGTGCAATAAAATTGGATATTTATGAGTCACGGCGCATTATGTTGATGACGAATGAGTTTTACAAAAAAGAATAATTGGTTTTCGTTTATGTCCATATCCTCATAACGCGTCATCTATTTTTAGTCAAAATAGAAATTTTTGGGTTTTATGGTATAGAAGGTAAAGTTTTAACTATTACTTTTGATAATGTGTCAGCTAACACGGCTGCAATTAACATGTTTAAATATAGTTTGAAACCAGCATTTAGGGAGGAAATATTTCATCAACAGTGTGCATGACACATAATTAATTTCGTAGTTCAGGCAGGAATTGAACATATTTCATCTAATCTAACAAATATTAGAGAATCATTATCATTCATATCTAGTTATGGAGTTCAGCTCCAAGAATTTAAACAATATTGTATGAGCAGTCAGCTACGCCCAAGAAAGTTTCCAACTAACGTGAGACATAGGTGGAATTCCACCTATTTAATGTTGAAGGCAGCACTCCCATATTCGCAGCTTATCACAACGTACGTAAACAGTAAGAATGATCAACTTTTAATTTTCGATACAGATTGGCAGATTGGTGAGTATTTTTTAAAATTTTTAGAAGTTTTTTACAATGCTACTGAATTACTTTCTGGAGTTTATTATCCTACTGCACATTTAGCTTTACATCAACTATTTAATATTTTAGAAACATTTTCTTATTATAGGGATACAAAACTTTTTGGAAACATAGTTAAGTTAATGGAAAATAAATTAAAAGTTATTGGTCAGGTTGTCCTATGTTATATGCATTGGCAATCATTTTAGATCCTAGGTGCGGAGTAGATGAGACTGACTCATTAATGACTGCTACCGCAGAAAATTTAAGAATAGATATGCAACTAACTATTACTGACGCAAAGAGAATGTTAGAAAAGGTTTTTAGTTTGTATGAAGTAAAATACGGCACAGGTAATAAAGAATAGGGAACTTCGATGTCAACTAGCAGTTCGGGGCCTAAAGGATCTTCGTGGAGTTTCTTGAAGAAGAAAGAGAAAACGGCAGGATCGTCATCAACACAAGCGTCTACCGAACTAGTAAAATACTTTTAAGTAAATTTTGTAATCGATGACAACAAACTAGACATCTTACAGTGGTGAAAGAGCAAGACCGATCGTTTTTCAACACTGTCCGTAATAGCTCGTGACATTCTGACAACTTTAGTGTCAATGGTAGCATCGGAGCAAGCATTTAGCGCAAGCAACTGAATTCTTTACGAGAAGAGAAGCAGAATGCATCCAGATATCTTGGAGGAGCTAATGTGCATTAAAGACTGGGAAGATGCCAAAAGACGAAAACAACAATACACAGATGATTCAATGCAAGAATATTTTTCTAACTTAGAAATAACAAAATCTTCTTGAAGCACTTAGATTTGTAATTTACTATTCCTAGCTACTGCACTCTTTTTTCCTTCGCTAAGGTTTTGTCTCGATCTCCCCACGGGTTTTACTTAGCAAGATTTTTAACGAGATAATCATTTATGTGTATTTATTCATATTATGTCAATTCAATAAAATCATATCTTTTGGGGGCATATGATATATTTTCTTTTTTAATTAAATTTTAAAAAAAATCAATTTGTTGGCCCGGCCCTAGTACTTATAGACTAGGGCCGCAGGCCTAGATCGGGTTTGAGTTTTTCTTCTCAGGCCCGGCTCAGGCACGGCCATACACTGTACATGGTCGTGTCAGGCCCGGCCTAGGCCCGTCACGGGCTTAGTGTTGGGCGTGCTGTGCCGACCCATCACGTTTGACAACACTATTTCATAGTTTTATAACTTGTTTTAGTAAATAGTAAAAGTTTATTTCTTCAAAAAAAAAAAAAAAAAAACAAAACAAAAGGGGTTTTATGTTAATCATATGCTCTATTGTGGTAACTTGATTTGACGGAATACCCTCCTCTGTATTGGTTATTAATTAAATTTTTTTTTTGCTACAAAGTTCTTTTAACGATTTGATTAAAAGAAAAAGAAAATAAAGATTATGTTTCCCTTCATAGGAGAAAAACCCATAAAAAAAAAAGAAAAAAAGAATAAACGTTCTCCAAATTATTGGCTGGTTCCATTTTAGTGCAGTGAAGGAAAAAAAAAATGGCATAGGAAATGATAAAGAGAAATTTGATAGCATTTGTTCCATTTTAAGAGGCATGATTAATTTTTTTTCACAGAACAGGAAAAATTTTCTTTTTTTTTGGACATCAAACCATACTTCTTTTTGGCCTTTAACCATAAGTTATCACTGTATACAAATTTTGAAACGTAACATCCGTCTTCTTAATTTTATTCCGTTAATAAATTTTCCTCTTCTGTTACAAAATTCATCACGTATCACTTATTTAGTAAAAATTAAAAGTGCAATTATGTTTATACTCTCATAATTAAATAATTTCGCATTTTTATTGAAAAAATTTACCATATTTTCTTTGACCATCATCTTCACTTTCTCTTTCCCTCTCTACGTGGCAGAAAGCCCGTGATGACGTGGCACCTACTTTCTTCTCAACAGAATTGTTTTCTTTATACCGTGTTTACCCAAATTAGAGTCTCCATCTGTCTCTAAACTCTGAGGTTTCACTCTTCAACTCTCTCTCTCTCTCTGATCTTCGGCCCATTTCAAGTAATTGAAGCAGGCCCAAAGTCTTCGGCAAATCCAAAAATGTCCGGCGAGTTGAATGGACTGCTGACGGAGCAAGACGACGCCGTACTGGAGCCTAGTGCTTGAACTTTTACCTCTACTCCGAGAACAAGCATACTGAGGCAAAGAACGGCTAAACCTTTGGCTTATGGAGATATTTGTATGCTTATAGTCATCTTCAACAAAGCTCGCAAATTACCTGCAAATTCACATACATGCAGAAGAGGGGGGGGGGGGGGATAGCACATTTGATCCCCATATAAATTACTGATTGTCAAGGCAGCGAATGTTTATTCCAGATACATTGACCATTCTCCTCAACAAGGTCTTGAATTCATATAAATCCTACCACTGTTGACGGATTCTGGACAATTCATTTCACGATAAATTTAGCCCCACTGATTGTCAAGGCAGCGAATGTTTATTCCAGATACATTGACCATTCTCCTCAACAAGGTCTTGAATTCATATAAATCCTACCACTGTTGACGGATTCTGGACAATTCATTTCACGATAAATTTAGCCCCCGATTCAAGTTTAGAATTCGAGTTTTATTACAGTAAAAAGCTTTCATAAACAATCACATCTAACTTTTTTGCTACAGTAAAAAATTTTCACATAAAATCATATCTCAATTCAAATTAAAAACTCGAATCAGCGAACTAAACGTGCCATAATAGGTCTCGAATTCAAACATTTGACAACTTCTTGTTA